ACACTTTAAGAATAAAAGCTCATTTAAAATATTAATAAATGCTATAAAGTATATAAATATATTTTTAAAAAACACTATATGATGAGTTTGCATACTAATGCAATCATACTAATGCATAATAATGCCTCGTTCAGTTTGTCCTGCATGTGTATGAACTGTATCTCTGTATATCCTGGGCTGTGAGTGGACTCAGCACATTACTCAGTATATGAGCTCTTTAAATAGGACGGAGCGTGTCAACAGTGTAAAGAGGGCTATTTTTAGAGAGTCACTCACAGAAAGCATCTCCTCTGGGGTTCAGCTCCTCGCCCTCCAGCTGGTTTCCTGTGTCATCTTCCTCCTCCTCCTCCTCCTCATCTTCTTCATCATAAAACTTCTCCTCCTCTGGAAACACGGGCGTCTGCTCCGAAGGGCCGTCGTAGTCGTAGGGCTGCGGGTGCAGTCGTGGAGATCCGGTCACCGCAGGCTCGGGGATGGTGTTGTCAAACTTGCCGCCCAGAATACGAGTTTTGGAGGGGAAATCAGGAATAGCTGCAGGATATACAGGCGATGCAATTAAATGCATGAGAAAGCTGGAATTAAATCTTTTATGCTGATATCAAATGATATTCAGGAGTCATTCAAATTCAAAAATGCATATATGAAGCTTGATAAATGTTAATTTGATTCATGCAATTGCAACATTATTGCATAATTCATTTAACATGCATAATATACACCAAGGCTATATATGCTTGGATATGCATGAAGCTTCTCCGTGAAAAGTGCATCTGTTGTGCATGAAGCCATTCGCAAAGGTCCATATTTAAGTTGCATGGTAATGCTTTGTTAATATATGAAATTGTTCCAACTTCTAATAGGTTTCATATATGTTTTTACTTCATATGTATTTCATATATGGACATTTAATATATGTACTGTACATAGCACAACGTATGGACTACCATTAACCAATATTAATAAGTGCTTTAAAAATATATTTCTCATTGTTAGTTTATGTTAGATAATGCTTGGGCTGCTTGATTATGACAAAAATGATAAACACGATTATTTTGGTCAATACTGTGATCAAGATTTTTTATTTATTTTTTTAAAATATGATTATATTCATTGACTTTGGAAACAACATGCATTTAATTAACTTTTAAATTAAAATTAACAGTTGATTTCCTTGAACTTTAACTATAATTCAACTGAAAAATACATTTAAATAAAAAATTATAAATTAGTTATATATATATATATATATATATCACTATAGATCAGAACTCAGAGGAAATGTTTTACTGCATACAGCCGTTAAACGTTTGCGCTGCATCTCTGAACGTTCTCACCATTGAGAAACACATCTGCATTTCCTTTCTCAGCTTCCCAGGATCTGTGATAAAAAGGCTTGACTACAAAAACACAAA